ATGCCTGGACCACAGTGGGTATTTGGTGGGAGACAGAGCTCACGGCTCACAGCAGCAGCAGCTGTCTGAGCTGCAGGATGCCCACACCAAAGCTGGAAGCGGTGTCTCCCATCCCTACTCTTCTTTCTGTTGCTCCTAATTTGTATTTGCAGCATTACAAGGAATATTATTTAACACTATATTTTACAAGTATTTCAAATTCTCCCATGCCTTCAGTAACTTCAGTGAGCTTAATCATCCTACACATGAATAAGTCCTCACTATGAATCCTTCAAGGGCCCATCCTTAGGAATGCTTACAGAGCTCTGTTTACCTTTTCTTAATAACCTGTTCTTCTTAATATCATCTTTTCTTGTGTTTCAATGTGTTATTGTCTCCAAATTTAAGTAACTGGAAAAGTTAGCATCTCTAGACTCTAGCCATCCTGTGAAAGTCCGAGACCCACTGTACATGTCAGTGCATGAACAAAAAGGGTCTGAATAATAAGTGCTAACATAGACAACAATCAAAATGAGTTCCCAATACCATCCATCAATCGGCCTCTGTGCTACAGAGAACTGTGCACAGTGAGATGGAAACATACAAATCACTGGGTCACAACCTCAAGCCAAAAATTAAACCTGGATCCCAGCGGATATGGAAGAGTCTCAAGTCACCTCTCAGCAGGCTTCAATATACACTTGCCTGATGCTACATAATTAGAGACAGCAGCATCATTCCTCCCTGCAACTTAATGCAGCCTCACCTGGGCACCTTGCTATTTGCTGCAACTTAACACAGACCAAGTGTGTGTTTCTTCTTAAGTTAGCACCCAACACAATACTCCACCATACCTGAGATAAATAATACAACCCCAGAATTCTTGAAACAGCAACTGATAGGGACGATCCACCTGATCCAACAATTCCTGCCAAGTATGCCCCAGTACTGTTTAGAAAATTGGGCCTGTTTTCTTCCTGCCCTGTGAGTAGTACCAATGCCGATTCCGTTGCTTTGGAGATGCTGAAACAGGTGTCAAAGATCTGATAACCCAGAGTAGAATTGGGCAAAATGTCCTTTCTTTCATTAATCTCTTTGATTGTGTGTATCATGGTTTTCATCCAGCGGAATCCCCGGAAGTTAAACCTGAAAAGAAATAGCTTTTGTCAGGCATGAGCATGCGGCAGGTCTTTGGGAGGAAAAGCAGCTCTTTGTTGGGGTTGGTAAGACTGGCTTTTTCCCAAACATCAGAGGGCACCTCCCTTGTCTGAGATCATTAATTTTTCCTAAAACTATCCAAGTTTAAGACTCAACAGTGAATGATCTTCATTGTTGACTGATTTGGGATGGGAAGAAATTTTTGGAAAGTCTTCTTGCCCTCTGTATATTTCATTTACTGTGAGCATTTCAAACTGCTGATTATCTCCTTTCACAAAAACATTCTTATATTCATCCGGGTTGTTGCTGTGGCACATCGGGTTAACGCCCTGGCCTGATGTGCCGGGATCCCAAGTGGGCTCCGGCTCTAGTCCCGGCCACTCCTCTTCTGATCCATCTCTCTGCTATAACCTGGGAAAGCAGTAGAAGATGGGCCAAGTCCTTGGGTCCCTGCACCCGTGTGGGAGCCCTGGAAGAACTCCTAGCTCCTGGCTTCGTATCCGCGTAGCTCTGGCCATTGCGGACAATTGGGAAGTGAACCAGTGGATGGAAGACTTCTCTCTGTCTCTACTTCTCTCTGTAACTCTTTCAAATAAATGACATAATTCCTTAAAAACTTTCTTATATTCCTAATTTTCTATCCAAACAAGACACCCAATAACCCCTACGTATTTTCCCTTCTATTGCAATCCCAGGGGCCATATGAGTCTCCTTTCTCTTCTCTTATTTTCTTCTGTACATTAATTATAACTTTAAAACACACGAAGATACTTAGGGTAGCAGTACAAAAAATTCATATATACTAACTCAAATAACATCTTTCTGCCATAATTTGATTGTTAATATTGAAGACATTAACCCCAGAATCCTTTTTTAGAGACTATTTGGACCTTAAGGACTAGTAGCTTGGAGGTGAGAGGATGCGGGGAGGAAGCCTTCAGCAACTGAAGGAACCTTGCCATTAATTTTAGGTCAGAAGTCAATCATTGTTCCAACATGCTGCATTCTCACTTGAGGTGAGCTTAGTTTATAACAACCAGCAATAAAACTATAACAGTGCTTTCCTAATTCTGCTTCAGTGCTTCTCAGCCCTCACTGCATGCCTGAATCACCAGGCAGGCTGTCAAAACGCAGATTCTGACACAGCAGGTCTAGAGGCAGCCCAGGATTCCACATTCTAGCAGGCTCTCAGGAGATGTTGACCCCTCTCAGAGGAGCAATGTTCCGTATTATACAAAACGTGCTCCTTTTTGTCTGAGATGCCTAAGTGGGCAAACACCCACTGGAGAGTAACCTGTTCCAATTTGTAAGCAATCCTAGAATGTTCACCTTGCAGAAACTGAGGCCCAGAAACAAGAACTGTCTATCCTGAGTCAAACAGATAGTCAGGGATCCTGGAGCAGACACTGTCCATCACACCCTCTGCTGCGCCCCGCCCCTGCTATTGCTATAGAGGGAAGACTGCGAGAGGCTTACCCTTCACACTTTGCTGATACTGGCTCCAAAATAGACTCGTTTGCTGGGATGGTCCTGGAGTGAATAGGAAACAGGCCTCCAATGATCACTGAGTGGTTTTGGGCATCTACATACCCATTTAAGTCAAACTTGCCCAGCAACCTGCAGGTCTGTTCCTCCTCTTCTTGGCCTTCAGTGCCCCATTCAGCCCACAAAAATGCAAGAAATCCTAGAACCAAGCATTTCTTTCTGCTGGCCATTCTAATAAGCTGAGTGCTGGGGAAATGGCCAGTGTTGAAATGATACAAGTTGTGATGAGGCACCGTGATAGAGTGGCACCCGAGGGCTTGTGAGCCTCATCCCAGTGGACTCAGCTTGCCACTACTTGCTACTTAATTGTCATCTCTCAGTCAGCGAGCCTCCTGCTCATGTGCAATTTATGGATCTGGACTAGGAACTGAGGAGCCCTTGTGAAGAGAGCCTCATAAAAATCTCTGGTACACTTGGCAACAACGTGTGACATCATCGTGGGTTTGGGGTTTAGAAGAGTCTTCATCTCAGCTAAACTGTCCCTGTCTTGGTTGTCGAAGGTCAGCCCCAACCATTCTCCCATCAACCCCACTTGCAGGCGTGTCCCTCACATCAAAGTGAGAAAGGGTATCCTATTTCAACTCAGAGTGTATAAAAGCTTACACCAGGCCAAGCTCTTTCCTTAGGGCTATAAAAAAGCTGAGCGGAAAATCAGGAGATCTGAACTAGAGACATCACTTTGCACTGTGTTCTGCCACTATTTTAGTGTGGTTGTAAGAAAGTCACTTAATTTCTGTGCCTCAGTGTCTTCATCAGTGATGGAAGATGATACAAAAAGCTACTTTAGAAAAATTTTGCAAAGCCTGTATGGTTGGACGAACAATTTTCATGTGCATCATTTTCTCAAAGCTGCGCCTCGAGATGATGCACTGTCCTCTGCTCAGTCTCACGCCTTTATCCCCAGTCCAGGCTCACATCCCGAGTCTTCCCTGAGGCTCCATCCCCTGTTCTTTCTTACCTGATCCCTTTCAATCTCTCAATTCAGGTCAGCTCATCCTGGATCCCTGTCTCCCTGTCTTCCCCTTTGGACCCTCTCAAAATCTCCTGCTGGAGTGCAAATTTGAAGTAGTAAGAACACATCCCAGGAAAGCAAACATATTTCAAAAATCTGTGGAAAACCAGAATTAAAGAGTTTATTTTGTTGTGTATTACATATGCAATATATTCATAGTGTCCTCACAATCTACAAATTTATAATACTGTTTCCTGTGAATTTATTGAAGTATGTTGTACATATCAGAACCATGAAAAATGTGCGTACCCTTTGATCATGTGGTTTTACTTCAAATTATTTATCTGATAGAAGCAAAAGAAGACCCACACAAACCTGATGTATAAGGATATTCAGTGCAGTGTTTGTTCATCCTAGTAAAAATGAAACAAAGTAAATGCACACAGTAGGGAACTGCTTCATCAAGTATGGTCTGTTCACATGGCAGAGTACAAAGGAACCGCTGAGTCATGTTTTAGTTCAATACAAGTGAAAGCTCACAAGATGTGTCAGTGAAGAGAGCAGAGAAAGCAGTGTATAAAGTTGCCTCTAAGCTTCTAAATTTTACTAATAGTCAGCAGTACTCTTTCACCTGTACATGTCCATGGAAAGAACTAAAAGAGACCACTGCAGACCTGAAGTTGAAAGAAAGGGGGAAAAATCCCCTTTCCCACTGCTTTGACAACTCAGTCAGATCATGATACTACTGCATTACCAGTCACACGGGCGCCACCTCCCTTTCCCCACCAAGGTCGTTTCCTTCACCTCGTTCCCACAGAAAGATTTCTTCCTGTTCTAAGTGTAATCTCCACTTGACCCCGAAGAAACCCAACAAAGAGTCTCCTATTCTCAGCTTTGAGCTGTCAGGGATAGGGCATGGCCTGTCTCAGAACCATCCGGGACTACTCCACGCTCCATGCTATTCTCGCGGTCTTACCAGAAGGCAGCTCCTCAGATTTCTGCAGCTACATCTTGTACCCAGTGCTGCTGCCACGCCCAGGATAATAGTATAGTTTGCCAGGGCCACAGGGATTATATCCTCCAAATGTAGCAGAATTCGTCAAAGATGAGGGAAAACAACATCTGAGCTCTTTTATTTATTTTTTTAAGATCTATTGTTTTTTTTTTTTTTTTGAAAGGCAGAGTTACAGAGAGAATAGGGAGGGAGGGAGAGGGAGAGACGGAGATCCTCCAGCCACTGGTTCACTACTCAAATGGCCACAACAATCGTGGCTAGGCCAGGCCAAAAGCATGGGTCCAGAGGTTTGTCTGGGTCTCCCACATTGTTGTAGGAAGCTAGATCAGAAGAATAGAACACTCAGGACTAACACCAGCACTCCAATGTGCAATGTGGGTGTCTCAGGAGGCAGCTTAACCCACGGCTCTCATACTTCATGCACTGCAAGAATTTCCCTTTACCTCACCAAGCACAGTTATCATAGCTGACTTAAAATCCTTATCTGGGGGCCTGTTCCGTTACTTGGTTAATCCTACGTCTGGTGCCGGCATCCCATATGTGCACCGGGTCCAGGCCCGGTTGCTCCCCTTCCAGTCCAGCTCTCTGCTGTGGCCCAGGAAGGCAGTGGAGGATGGCCCAAGTGCTCGGGCCCCTGCACCCACGTGGGAGATCAGGAAGAAGCACCTGGCTCCTGGATTCGGATCGGCGCAGCATCCATCTAAATATCGAGAGATAAATTTCCCTTTAAAATTTAATGAAGCCAGGGAAACCTGCTCTAATTATGTCTCTCCTCTGCTCAACATCCTTCAGTGCCTCCCTGCACGGAGGATAATGGTGAACCCAGCAGAGTGAGTAAAGGCTGAACTGTCTCCAGCCCACGCCCTTCAACTTCCTACCCAGCTGCTGCTCTGCCCAGGACTGCACTCCAGGAGTGTGATCTGCCCTCGGTTTATTCGTGGCTCCCTTGAAATGCCTATTATTTTTTATTGCTGCTCTTCCTTTCTCCCTACCCAATCTGAAACCCACTTACGGGAACTCCAGGCCATCTTAAGATCCCCACTGACCACTGCAGAGACGGAAAGGGGCGTGTCCTCCACTGCTCACTCCATCCGGATTGTCTGAACTACTGTGGGCACATTGCTCACAGAGGGCTTCTTTTTTATTTGAAAGAGTTGCAGAGAGGCAGAGGCAGAGAGAGGGAGAGAGAGAGAGAGAGTCAGAGAGACGAAGAAACAGAGACAGAGAGGTCTGCCATCTGCTGGTTCACTCCCCAGATGGCCACAATGACTAACACTGGGCCAATCCAGAGCCAGGAGACACAAGCATCTTCCAGGTCTCCCACATGGGTGCAGGGGCCCAAGTGCCTGGGCCATCTTCTACTGCTTTCTCAGGCCATAGCAGATGGCTGGATGGGAAGTGGAGCAGCCAGGACGCAAACTGGTGCCCATATGGGATGCCGGCACTACAGGCAGATGCTTCACCTACTATGCCACAGTGGTACCCACTAT